ATAGTCCTAATAATGTAAATAGTCCTACATAATACCCTCATCTCATTCATAGACATCTATATCTGATCTATCCGAAACGTTGTATCTATATATCTCAGATGAGGACAATAGTCCGAATAATGTAAATATGTACATATTACATTCATCTCAGAAATATAGACAGATACTGAAGGGCCGAAACGTTGTAATAAATATGGCGTCAAAGATGAGGACAATAGTCCGAATAATGTAAATAGTGTACATAATATCGTTCTCAGAAATATAGACAGATACTTTTTCTCCGAAACGTTGTAATAAATATTGACAAAGATTTGGACAATAGTCCGAATAATGTAAAATAGTGTACATAATACCTCATCTCAGAAATATAGACAGATACTGAAGGGCTGAAACGTTGTAATAAATATGGCGACAAAAGAAGAGGACAATAGTCCGAATAATGTAAATAGTGTATGATAATAATAACATCTCAGAAATATAGACAGATACTGAAGGGCCGGGAAACGTTGTAATAAATATGGCGACAAAGATGAGGACAATAGTCCGAATAATGTAAATAGTGTAAATAAAACCATCTCAAAATATAGACAGATACTGAAGGGCCGAAACGTTGTAATAAATATGACGACAAAGATGAGGACAATAGTCCGAATAATGTAAATAGTGTACATAATACTTCATCTCAGAAATATAGACAGATACTGAAAGGCCGAAACGTTGTAATAAATATGGTGACAATGATGAGGACAATAGTCCGAATAATGTAAATAGTGTACATAATACCTCATCTCAGAAATATAGACAGATACTGAAAGGCCGAAACGTTGTAATAACATGGCAACAAAGATGAGGACAATAGTCCGAATAATGTAAATAGTGTAAAGTAATACCTCATCTCAGAAATATAGACAGATACTGAAAGGCCGAAACGTTGTAATAAATATGGTAACAAAGATGAGGACAATAGTCCGAATAATGTAAATAGTGTACATAATACCTCATCTCAGAAATATAGACAGATACTGAAAGGCCGAAACGTTGTAATAAATATGGCAACAAAAGATGAGGACAATAGTCCGAATAATGTAAATAGTGTACATAATACCTCATCTCAGAAATATAGACAGATACTGAAAGGCCGAAACGTTGTAATAAATATGGCAACAAAGATGAGGACAATAGTCCGAATAATGTAAATAGTGTACATAATACCTCATCTCAGAAATATAGACAGATGCGTCAGATGATGTCGATTGAAATTACATTTGAATATTTGAAGGTTATAGCTATCAGAGAAGCAAGTAAGAGGATGTTTGTGTATGTGTGTCTGCGTGTGTGCGTCGTTTTTATTTTTAATCAATTCACCCAAGCAAGGCAGGTATATATAGGGGACGCAAGGGGTTACAGAGAGTGAGAGCAAGAGTAAAGAGGGGATGTTTGAGGAAAGAATAAAGAGAAGGACGGGGGTCAGAATTAAGGCATCAGATGATGTCGATTGACATGACATTTGAATATTTGAAGATTATACCTATCAGGGAACCAAGTAAGAGGAAGGGCGTTCCCCTGTCGGGAAGTGTGAGAGAAGAAGCCGTTGGAGTAGAAGAGGCGGTTTCATTTAATTGTATCGACAGTGAAAGGGTGGGGCCGAGATGCCAACCTCGTAGAACGCTTAAATTCATGGAAATGAGGTACCAGTGAAAGTTGCCCTTCACAGCAGTTGTCATGTAGAAAAGACAGAGGGAAGCCACATCAGGTCTGTGAGAAAGTGACTGGAGTCGAGAGATGCCAGGTCATGACCGATCACATTGCATATCTGTCTCGAGATTTTGTCTAGGACCTCGAGATGAACAGCGGTGGCACCAGACCAAATATGGTAGCAGTATTCAACGCAAGGACGAATGGTAGATATGCCAGGAGCTGCACAGTCTTTTCTTGCTAGTTTAGATAGAGCTAAAAAAACATCTCCGCGTCCTTGTGGGTGATGAATTATTTCCCACTCTACAAACCAATTCCCACATAAGAAACGTTGCGAGCATCTAGCTAATCTATCAAGTGGTCAGACAAACCACATTCCATAGTGTCACCAATTCTAACATGAATATATAAAAACAGAACCGATATTTTTTTGATCTGATCTCATACAATTAGCATTTCTCCTTCAAAATGCGATATTTATTTTCAAGTATTCTTCGTCAAATCAAAGATGGCACCAGGGCGGTAACTTTTTTTACTTTTTTTTTTAATCTTTTTACAATGGATTCTACGTTCGGTTTCGATCGCCTCTATTCGGCAGGATGTGTCATTCTCTTTACTTAGTGAAGCCATAAATATCAAACAGAAAGTTGCGGAATGAACGAGTCTGTGCGGTTTCAAATTAAGAAAAGGAATCGACCCATTGGCTGTGATGCGTTGGGAAATGATAACAAGTCAATATGGTACGAAAATTTATCGAAAACCGTTCGACTTTTTTTTTCATCGTGAAATCATATTCGTTACAAAA